CTGCTTCTCAGTAGCACTAAGGGGGATTTGGGGCCATTCCCCCTGCTCCCACTGGTCCCATGTGCAGCCAGGGCAGCCCAGGGCTCTCCTGGCTCCCATCCCACAGCAGATCCAAGCCAGCCCTGGGCCGTGGCAGCAGCAAAGCTTTCGAGCTTCATCTGAGCGCAGAGCAAATTGTTTCCTTAACCAGGTTTATTCCTCCGAGGGAGGAATTTGCTTGAGAGATTTCCACTGGAAATTAAATCTTTCCTGGGATCCGGATAAACAGCCCCAGTTCCTGGAGCTGGGCTGGCAGGGGGGGCTGATCCCCGGCCTGGGGGGCTGGGAGTGACCCCGAGGTGGCCCTGGGGAGTGTCCCCATCGCTGTCCCTGTCCCCATCCCGGTCCTTGACCCTTTGGCAATGCCAGCACCCCCAAGAGCTCCCAGGGGAGGGGTGGATGCAGCACCCAGAGCACTGGGGGTGCAGTGGGATGGATCCAGCACCCCCTGTGGGGTCAGTGGGGACATCCTGGGACATCCCGGGACATCCTGGGACAGTGGGGACATCCCGGGACATCCCGGGACATCCCGGCTGGCCAAAGGCAGCTCCGGCCCCGCCCCTCCCCTCTCATTCCGTCCTGTCCTTCCTGCAGCTTTTGCCTCCCTTTTCCCACTGCTGCTCCCTAATGAATTCAGAGAGTTCCAGCGATGGTTTCTGAGAGAATGGAAAACAATTATTTGCTCTGGTGGGGAATAGATGCTGTTTAGTCTGTGTTTAATGGGAAGCTAATTAAATTACATGAGCAAGTGAAGAGAAATTTTTTTGTTAATTGTGAATTTTGCGAGCTACAAAGGCGAAATGATGATGATGGATCCTGTGATGTGCTGCCCTTCTCCCCAGCACAGAGATAAGATAACAACAGAGGAGGAATGGTGGGAACTCATTTTAACTCATCCATCAATTCTGCAACAGCCGCCTGAGCCCGATCCATTACCTGGGATCCTCAGAGCTGCTGGTGACTGGCAGCTGGGGGCTAATTATCTTCAAACTGGGGAAAGGTTGCTTAAATAAATGTGTGCTTCTTCCTGGAGGTAGCTGGGGATGTCACAGACTCACAGAATCCCAGAGTGGTTTGGTTGTGGGGATGTAAAGCTCATCCCATTCCACCCCTGCCCACCATCCCTGGGTGCTCCAAGCCCTGTCCTGGGCCTGGGACATCCCTGGAGTCAGGGCTGGAGCAGCCTGGACCCCAAGGATGGAATATCCTTGACCCCGGGGTCAGGGACATCCTGGAGCAACCCTGACCCCACAACCAAGGTCTCTGTGACCCCAGGGATGGAGCATCCCTTACCCAGGGCCTCTCTGATTCCAGGGATGGAGCATCCCTTACCCCAGAGCCTCTCTGATTCCAGGGATGGAGCATCCCTTACTGCAGAGCATCTACAACCCCAGGGATGGAGCATTCCTGATCCTGGGCCTGGGACATCCCTGGAGTCAGGGCTGGAGCAGCCTTGAGCCCAGGGATGGAATATCCTTGACCCCAGAGCCAGAATGTCCCTGACCCCAGGGCTGGAGCAGCCCTGACCCCACAACCATGGACTCTGCAACCCCAGGGATGGAGAATCCCTTACCCCGGGGCATCTATGACTCCAGGGATAGAGCATTCCTGATCCTGGCTCTGGGACATCCCTGAACTCAGAGCTGGAGCATCTTTGACCCCAGGACTGGGACATCCTGAATCCCAAGTCTGGGACATCCCTGGTGTCCATGGCTGGAGTGTCACTGTCCCCAGGGATGGAGCATTCCTTACCCAAAGCCTCTCTGACCCCAGGGATGGGGTCAGTGGATGGAGCATCCCTTACCCAGGGCATCTTCGACTTCAGTGGTAGAGCATTCCTGATCCTGAGTCTGGGACATCCCTGAACTCAGGGCTGGAGCATCTTTAACCCCAAGTCTGGGACATCCCCAGTATCCATGGCTGGAGTGTCACTGCCCCCAGGGATGGAAGGTCCTTGACCCCACAACCACGGCCTCTGTGACCCCAGGGATGGAGGATTCCTGATCCCGTGTCTGGGGCATTCCTGGATCCAGATCTGGAGCATCCCTGACCCCAGGCCTGGGGCATTTCTGCCCCTGGGGATGCAACATTTCCTGACCTGACCCTGGAACACCCCAGGAGTCAGGGCTGGAGCAATGTGACCCCAGGAGTGGGACATCCCTGATCCCAAACCTGGGACATCCCTGGTACCCAGGGCTGGAGTGTCCCTGTCCCCAGGGATGGAGCACTCCTGTCCCCAATCTGGGCCATCCTTTACCTCAGGAGTGGGACATCCCTCATTCCAAACCTGGGACATCCCTGGTACCCAGGGCTGGAGCATCCCTGTCCCTATGGCTGGAGCACTCCTGACCCCAAGCTGGGCCATCCTTTACCCCAGGGCTGGGTCCTCCTTTACCCCATCCCTGGACCCAAAGCCGGAGCACCCCTGGCCATGGGACTGTGATGTCCCTGTCCCTGTCCCCAGGCTGCTCCAGCCCTGCCCATACAGACAAAAACCTGACTTTGGTGTAAAAATATCAGTTTAGTGAAAAAACCTGATGTCTCTGTGTTCTGTTTATACCCCTGGCAGGGAGAGCTCTCTCTGGCATAAAGATGCAGATGGTTTTTGACTTCAAACGCTCGGGTTTAGTGGAAAGAGAGGATTTTGTGTACCTGGGGAAGAGATCCCATCTGGCTGCTCCTGCCCTGGGGGTGCAGAGCTCAGCTGGGGCAGACCCAGCCCTGCCAGAGCCAGGTGGCCATGGGGGACAGGGGACAGCGCTGTCACCTCACCATGGCATGTGGGGTGGCAGAGGAATGGAGTCTCAGCCTTGATGGGGTCGTTCCTCCCCCTTCTCCATCCCACAGGAGATTTGGGATGAGGCTCTGACCCCCCCCGGGGGTGTTGGGGAAACTGAGGCACAACAGGGCATGGTGAGGGCACAGCTGGGGATCAACGCACAGACCCTGATGGCTCCCTCCAATTTCCCATCCCCCCCCCAGTTAATTACAGGACCCTTTTTGGATTTCCTCTGATATTTTCTGTGTCATTTTGGCCATTGGGGCTTTTTCTTGCACACAAACCCCAGGCTGGGGTGTGGAGTGGCAGATTCTGAGCAGAGCAAAGCACCAAGCCCTGGGCTTGTTCCCCACCCTCTCCTGGATGAAGTTGTCTTCTCTGCTTCCAGGGAAGCTCCATGACAGGGTTTATTGACCTTTTTTTAATCTAAAATTGATTCTTTGCAAAACTCCACCTGCTCGGGAGCCAGGCAGGATCTCGGTGCCATTGGATGGGAATTTATGATTTCCCATCCGAGCATTTTGCCTTTCCCTGGTGATTTGGGGGCTGCAGGAGGGCTGAGCAGGGCAAATTTTCCTGGTCATGGCCAAAGAGATGCTGTGGGTTGCTTTGGTCCTTATCATTTTTGACCTGTGAGGTGATCCCAACCCTTTTGTTCAGAGTTCCTGCTGTGTTTAATTCCCAGAGGAGCCCAAAATCTGAATCCTGGAGCTGTGGCTGTCCCAGGATCACCCTGAGGAACCTGGGACAGAATGGGATGAAGGTGATGGGACCTGTCCCTGGTGAAACCTGGGGATCCCAGAGCCAGGAGAGCTGGGAGGGATGGCCCAGCCATGGTGGGGTGTCCCAGCTCCACAGCTTGGCAGCCTGCAGGGAGGTGTGGGATACTCAGGGCTGCTGGAGGTCACTCAGCCAGGCCAGGGGGGAATAAACCACGTCTGAGTCTGCTCCTGCTCCCAGAGCCCGGTTCAGAGCATCCCTCGAGGAGCCCTCTGCATCTTTGCACTGAATGCACAAAAGCCAAGCGTTTCCTGCAGAGCCCCCTCCTTCAGCCCCAGCCTCCCCAAACGCCCCCGGGAGCGCGGAACAGCCCCGGGGGGACAGAAATCCCCATCGTGGAGGATGAAGGAGAAGCTCCAGGTGTGGGAGGGATGAGCCCTGGCAAGCTTGGCTGGGTTTGGACCACACACACAAATGCAGCTCCATCCCCCGGATGCCGTGTGGATGCTCTGACACCTAAGGCTGTGAGGGGCGGGTTTAGGAGATGCCTCCTTCTCAACATCGGCGCTGAGGATTAAGAAATCATGGAAATTAAAAGCAACAAACTGTTTCCAAGTGCTTCTGCCAGGCGGCATTTCAGCCGGAGGTTTCTAGAGCGCTGGGGAAGCAGCATGCCGGTGATTGCTCGCGCTCTGCGATGTCCCCGAAGGTGTGCTGTGAAAACAGAACAAAGGCGAGCGGGCGGGTGGCGGTGAGGGGCCGTGTCAGCCCTGTGTGCACCCACTCCCTGCCCAGGCACTCTGCCCCGGCCCCAGCCGCGTGTGCCGAGCGGGCTCTGCGGAGCGGGGCTCTGCGGGGGGATGCGGGGCGCTCCCGCCGGGCTCGGCCATCTGTCCTCCCCGCAAGCGCAGCTGCTGCGCGGGCACGGCCACCCCGGGGGAGGCGGCGGGGTCCCCGTGCTGCGGGTCCAGGCGCCGCCCAAGGGCCGCAGGGCCGGGGGATGCGGGGGGATACGGGGGGGGATATGGGGGGAGCACTCGCAGCCCTTCCCCAGGGTCTCACCCAGCCGCACCTGGCTCCGGAGGCGAAAAAAAGAATTAATAACAAAAATCTGAGATTTAAAAGACAAACGTGTCTTTCTGATGATTAAGGATAAGCATAAGGCCAGGCGGGAGCCGCGGTGCGGCGGAGCGGCCGCGCTGCCCGCGCCCCCGGAGGCCGCCAAGGGCTCGGCGCGGCTCGGCGTGCCCGCCCGCCCCCCGCCCCGCCCGGCCGCGCCGCCCGCCGCGCCCCGCCGGCTGCCGCGTCCCGCCTTGTTCCGGCCGCGCCGCCCGGCCCCGCCCGCCCGGGGCGCGGAGCGCGGCTGTGCGGGAGACAATAGCGGAGCGCTCGGCTCCGCGCCGAGCCGGGCATGGGCGGCCAGGGCTGCGCGGCCCCGCGGCCCCCGCGCCGCCCCAGCGGGCTGTAGCGGGCCGGGGGGCGGAGGGAGAAGGGGGCGATGCCCCACGCCGAGCCCAGCCCGCCGCTGTGCTGAGCCGGCGGGGCTGGCCGAGCGGGACATGGTGCTGGAGCCCTCCGTGACGCTGCCCGGGTGGCCGAGGGGCGGCTGCTGAGGAGCTGGAGCGAGGCCACGGGGAGGGAGCCCCGAGGATCCGGCTGGGGAGCCATGGGGAGATGCAACGGGCGATGCACGCTGGTGGGATTCTGCTGCCTGCAGCTGGTAAGGCTCATCGGCATGCCGGGGGTGCTTTGTGCAAGATGCTGCCTGTCACCGCTCCCCACGCCGCCTCGGCGGTGACCTTGTGCTGGGACCAGCTCGGGGATGGCTCATCGTCAACCAAAAAAAGCCCACAGCAAAGGAAAAATGCTGATCTGGAAGACAGGCAGTGCCACCCTGATCTCCTGCCTCAAGCCGGCGCTGGCCGGGAGGTGGATGGGGACCCCTTCCCTGCGCTGTCAGTGCCCGAGGTTGCGTCTCCAGCAGGTGTGAGCTTTGTTCCCAACTGCAATCTCTTCCCTCCGAGTTCACTCCCGCCCGCCGTTCCCGTTCTGGTGACTCCCCGGATGCTCTCGGGGTGCTGCTCCCCTGAGTCGGGGCGAGAGGGAAACTTGGAGCCGCCGGCAGCACTTTGGAAACTCCGCTGCTCCTGAGCGGGACCCACCTGCCCGCGGTGTGGGGCACGGGCTGTGGCAGCAGGGAGAAAGGAGAGGGTTGATTTCCACGAGATTGTGGGGTTGCATTTGTAGGGTTTCGTGACAATTCCGTGCCGCGCTTGCCGCCGCCCGCGGATCAATCTTCATCGGGCTGTGCCCGAGGAGCGGCGAAGGGAGCGCGGGGGGGATCCGGGGGGTTCTGCTCAAACCGGCGAGGTTGCGATTAATTGTCCCGGCAGGGTGGTGCGTTAATGGAGAATCAGCCGCCTCCTGCTTGCCCCCGCGGCCGTGCCGGGCGAGGAGAGCAGGGAGGGACCGCTGAAATCTGTGGGGTCAGCTCGAGGTGTCCCCGGGGACGGGGGTGATGGATGGATGGATGGACGCGGCGATGGAAACGGGCTCAGAGCCCGCTGGAGATGATGGTGGCATCCTGCTGACAGGCACTTTCTTCCCGGCTCTTGCTCATCCTTCATCCTCCAGAAGGCAGCGGGTGGGGAGGGGTCCCCGCGTTTGGATGGGGGTACACGAGGGGAGGATGGGGAAGGTTTGAAGCCGGTGCTCAGCGCTGGGATCATCCCCAGGCTGGAGTGCCCCCATGGCCTCCGTGTCCCCAGCTGTCCCCTCGCTTTGAGGTCTCGTTTGGCGTTTCACTCACCTGATCCAGGATAAATCCAGCGAGGCTTTTCCAGGTGTGCAGGAGTTTCCTGGCTGTTGGTGACATTCCTTTTCACCACTGGGCTCCCAGGCAGATTGAGTGGTGATTATTCCCTGAGATATCCCAAATCAGAGGGGTTTTAATCTGTTCATTTTGGGGAAGGCTGAATGGGTGTGAGTTCCTGGGCTGGGAGAGCAGCTCCTGCTCACACCCACAGGAACTTTGTGCTGCTAATTGCGGTCAGGCTGTCCCCTCCACCTTCCCCCCGTGTGTCCTGGTGCTGTTGGCATCCCCAAAGGCTCCAATCCCTTCCCAGGGACCCTCCCCTTCCCTCTCCAGGCTCACCCTGACCCAGCTCATCCTTTGGGAAGCTCCCCAGAGCTCCTTCCTGGGTTTGGAGGCAGCAGCTTCCACACCATTCCTCATGGGGACATGCACCCAACCCTCAGCTCCTCATCCTGGGGTGAGGGGTCTGGGTGCCCACCCCTGGGGTGACCAAGGCCACCCTGAGGTGACACAGCACCTGGGCCAGGCAGAGCTGAGGTTTGGGATGGAGCCTCAGGGTGGGGGGATGATCCCTGACCCCATCCCTGCTCCCCTGCCCTGCTCCACCCCAACATGGGGATGGCATGGCAGGCTCGTGTCCCCTCACCCAGCTGCCCCTGGGACCTGTCCTGGGCCCTGTGTCCTGTGGGTGGGGACAGCTGTGCCCCCAGTGTGCCCACTCAGGACCAGCCTTGGCCCTGCTGTCCCTTCAACAGCAGCGTGGTGACATCCTGAGGTGATGCCACCATTTCTGGCTGATCCTCCCTGCCCACCCCAGACACCTTCCCATGGCTCCCTGTGTGCCACTGTCACCTCATGGGCACCTTCCCGTGGCTCCCTGTGTGCCACTGTCACCTTTCCATGGCTCCCTGTGTGCCACTGTCACCCCTTGGGCACCTTTCCCACCCAGCTGGTTCCCCAATATCCATGCCCTGCTCCCTCACCCCCTGGTCCCAGGGATGCTCTGATGTCCCCAGGTGCAGCTGGCACCCACTGGGCACCAGGTCCCCGATCCAGAGGGGCCCTGCCCAGCCCTGCCCGCTCCAGCCCACCCCTGAACCAGTTTGGGAAGCTGCTTTGCTCCTTTTGGGGCTGTGACACCACAGGAGCTGCTTTGGAGCACTCAAACACCCCCCAAGCTCCTTCCCCACTGTCGTGGCCATGCTGTGAGTGCTGGCTGACCCCGGTCCTGGGGACAAGCACCACGTGCCACGTTTTGCCTCCATTTATGGCTTTTCCCTGAAAAACCCTCCTGCCAAACCCCCACCGGCCGTGCCCCGCCTCGGGAGGGGCCACCTGCAGATGTTGGTGATAATGAGGTGGGGTCAAAGCCAAACCCCGGGGTGTTCCCAGCAGCTGGGAGACACCAACCCCTCTCTGTGCCCCGCGTTTGTGGGATTCACCCTCTCTTTGTGGGAAATGGGAATGCTGAGGGGTGGGATGGGGCAGGGACCCGGGGTGGGGCTGCCCTGCTCGGGTGTGGGGGTGCGGGAGCCACAGCGTTTGTTCCTCTGCAGGGGAGGGGACAGCTGTGCTGCTCCTGGGGCTGGGCCAGCCCTGGTGATGGGGATATCGGGATATTGGGATATTGGTGTGTCAGGACATTGGGATATCAGGATATCAGAACATTGGGATATTGGGATATCAGGATATTGGGATTTTGGGACATTGGGATATGGGGACATCGGGACATTGGGATATCAGGATATTGGGACATTGGGATATTGGTGTATCAGGACATAAGGATATCAGGATATCAGGACATCAGGACATTGGGACATTAGATATTGGGACATTGGGACATTGGGATATAGGGATATCAGAACATTGGGGTATTGGGATATCAGGATATTGGGACATTGGGATATTGGTGTATCAGGACATTGGGATATCAGGACATCAGGACATTGGGACATTAGATATTGGGACATTGGGGTATCCGGATATCATGACATTGGGATATTGGGACATTGGGATATCAGGATATTGGGACATGAGGATATTGGGATATCAGGACATCAGGATATCAGGATTTTGGGATATCAGGATATCAGGATTTTGGGATATTGGGATATTGGCACATGGAGACATAGGGATGTTGAGATATTGGGATATTGGGACATCGGGACATCAGGATGTTGGGATATTAGGATATTTGAATATCGAGATATCGGGATATTGGGATATCAGGACACCGGGATATCAGAATATCGGGACATCAGGATGTCAGGATATTGGGACATCAGGATGTCAGGATATGGGGACATCAGGATATCGGGACATGCACTGCTGGCAGCTCTCATGCCGGCTCTGTCCAGCTGCTGTCCCGTGTCCCTTGGCCACCCCGCTCCGTGCCCCGCGGCCGCGCTCAGGCTCTGGTCCGGGATGGTTTTCCTGGAGCTCCTTCTCCATCCCAGCCCGGCGACCCCAGCGCCCCCTCCGTGCTCAGCCCCGCAGCGGGACGGGGACGGGGACAGGGACGGGGACGCTCCGTGCTCCCCTCCCCTGCCAGAGCCGGCACCGCTTCCAGCCGAGCTCCCGTTTCCTTCTTTGTTTCTCTCCTTCTCCTTTAATTGGCTGGAAAAGCAGAGCTGGCTTGGCACCTCCCGCCTGCCGGAGCCTGCCAGGCTGGCGGGGTGCGGTGCGGGGCCGTGCGGTGCCATGCCATGCCATGCCGTGCCGTGCCATGCAGTGCCATGCCATGCACCGTGCCATGCCATGCCCGGTCCCTGCGGGGGCCGCGGGTCCATCCCAGCCTCTCCCCGAGCCGCGGGGTTCCGGGGATGACACCCCCGGCTCCAAGGCTGGAGAAGGATCAGGAGTTCTGCTTAGCGAGGGATGGGTGGAGGGAGAGGATGATCCTTCATCCCTGGGTGTCATCCCTGTGCCACAGCGTGTCCCTCTGCACCCCTGTGGGCTCCGTGGCCCTCCTGTCCCATTCCATCCTCCCTTCCTGCTCTGATTTCCCTGGTTTGGCCACGGCCGCTGGGAACCACCCTCCTCCCACCTCTGCCGGCATCTTTTGTCCTCGCCCGGTCCCGGGCTGGCCCGGGCACCGCGGGGCTGGGGCGGCCCCGGCCGCATCCCCCCGCCCGGCGAGGGGGAAAGGAGCCCGGGCTGAACTCGGGCTGGAGGTTTTCAATTACACAATTAAATGCACAATTAGGTGTAATTACCAGCGCTCAGAAGGTGCGACTGTTCATAATGGGCTTGTAATCTACTGCCGCCGCTGTTTGTACTGCTCCGCTCCGCTCCCTGATGATTATGGAAAGCTTTCCCATTTGCATGGTTGCCATGGCGATGGGGGGATGGCGAGGGGAGCCCCTCGGTCCCCCGAGCCCCCTCGTTGCCCCACATCCCCTCTCCGTGATGAGGGCGATGGGGGCGCTGATACCCGCACCACTGTGGGGTCATGGAGGGATGAGGATGCTCCAGCGATCCAGAGGATCCAGAGCTGGCCCCAAGGTGGGAAATGTGTTTGAAAAGCCTGAAAATCCCACCCCATCCCTTCACCTCCCCGGGTGAGCGCCCTGTGGGTGGCCGTGCAGAGGCATCAGAGCTCCGTGTGGGTGGGTGAGCATCCTCCGGCACATCCACATTCCAGGCAGGGCTGTAAAGGTTTATTGACGTGTGTTTGGGAAGGCAGAGCCTCGCAGCTCGCAATTAAAACCGCGATTAAAGCGCCGTACGTCTAAATTTGCAGGACCAGCTAATGTGCACCCGAGAGGATTAACGAGGCCGCCTGAAGAACTCCCTAAATCATTCATGGCGGTTCTTAACGGAGCTGGCAGCGAGGGGGGCTGGAAAATAAATGTCTCAGGGGGCTGGGTTGTAGAGAAAATAAAGAGGATGAGGCTGAAACCAGC